ACATTCTTCCGAAGAGAAAAGAAAAGAGAAGAGAAAAGAAGAGAAAAGGAAAAAAAGAAAAAAGAAAAAAAAGAGAAAAAAAGAAAAACTTTAGAAACCGAGAAAAACGTGAGAACCATCGAGACGTGAGCCAGATTCATTCTGTGCGTATATCGTAGACCCAGGGATCCTGTCAGGATATAAGCGGTTAGAACTGGATGCCGATAAGGGCGCAAAACATAACAGAATAAGGAGTGATTTAAAAAGAAATGGTTTGAGAAAAGAAATGATTTGAGAAAAGATTTGAGAAAACTTAGAATTTAAAGGCACAGGACCACGGGTTCATGACGGTCGCGGGAAGATCCAGGTGTCTCCCAGTGAACTTCATGCCCGGATTACGTTTTCCTTTGTCTGTTGCCCGAAGTGTCGCGGTCCAAAAAAACTCGCGTTTGGTCCAGCGTTCGAAGTTCGTCGCAACCGGTAGCTTGCCGAGAAAATTTCGGTATATACCCCACAACCTTGGCTAGAATAGCCAAGGCCCGGAGAGAGAACTCCGGGGGATAACCCCGGAGAAGGCTTTCAATCATAGCAAATGCGATCACCCCGATACTCAAAGCCTTTGAGGTCGTGGCAGCCCACAGTCTCTTCAGGGTAGACGAAAGCGCAACTACCTTCGCCCTCTTATCGGAGAAACTATCAAAATCCTGCATAGTCTGGTACATAAGCCCTTTCCCCTGTCTCAGTCCTTTCGTGTTCTTGGTCTCTTGGACGAAATGTAGCTGCATTGGTTCAGTCGTCGTGTACAGAATCCCTCCGATGAACGGACAATATCCTGCTCCCTCGTCTTTCCGTACCAGTCTAAGTTTTGAATCGTAGCACGATTCATAATCGTCCAGAATCCGGTTTGCCTTGCTTATCGACGCCTCGTCCTTCGTGCACCCGACGACAATCGATACGTCATCAACCATCCTCCACCCCCGCACTAGACTCCTATCGGTTCCCAAACTGTTCAGGAACTTCAGCTCTGCCATGGCACAGGTGATAGTGGCGAGTACCGGGCTAGTGATCTTCCCCATTGGGATTCCCACCTCTTGTTTCCTGATCTCTTCTCCGCAGACCATGTACGCGTGTTCCAGATCATATTGTACTAGTGCCAGGATCATTTTCAGCTTCACTGATATGTACCCTGGTACCGTGCGGTTCGTCTTAGACAGTGTACATAGCTTTCCTCTAGTAGCCACCCTCACTTGCTTCCATCCTTCATTCTCGACCAGCCGTAGCAAGTCGAAGACCGCTTCGCTGACTGCCGTGTGTGGTATCGAGGAAAACATTTCCTTGATATCATAGCAGCGGCCAACGGTCTCTGTGTATCCCGATTTTCCCCATTTCTCGCATACTCCCTCCAAATCGTCAACCAGGCCTTGCACAGAAGCCAGATGGAAGTTCTGGTTCCTCGACAGTCGTGTGACTAAACAGTATAATGCTCTGGCGCATCGTTTCTGAGCGACTGCCGCTGGGTCACTACAGGCAGGTGTGATTGGTCTCCAAAGTTGCAGATCCTTATCTTTCGGGATGACGTAGGCCTTCCCGAGTCTTCCATGCGGTTTCCATCCTCCGGCTTGGAGAAGTCCTGCTTTGCTGAAGTCGTTCTTGCATGCTGCAAGAATGTCTTCCTCAGTTGACCTGACTCTTGCATAGTCAGCGTTCCATGTGAACGTCTTTCCGAATCCATGCCTGTGCAGGATCGGGCAGATGAGTGCAGTATCTCCAGCATTTCGATCCACCGGTGACATCACTAGTCCGTCGTATGCCCGTGCCCATACCTTAACTTCCTCTTCCGTCCATGCCGTGACTTTGTCACTAGTCCCTTTGAGACATGTGTCTACTTCTATTGTCACATTCGTTCCCTGTCCTAGGTGTTCCGTAGCAGAGAGAATGCTATCACGCAGTGTCCGTTCTCCCATCGTGTGGTGACCTCTTGTCACATTTTTCGCGTTCCGGACAAAACTAGGAACATCTAGCTGCGTCAGCCTTGTCAAGACATGTCCTTCGTGCTTCTGTAAGTCGAGCCGTGCACATATACAGATGACAGGTTCGGTATGTGCATACTTCCTGTGGTTGTGCATGACTTCCCCCACTGTCCTGGTTGCTACCACTCTCACCTTCTTCTTAACGAAGGCAGCCACGGCAACATCGATTATCTTCTGGTCGATGACCATTTGCGTAACCCTTCTGATTTCGGACTTTCGGATAGTCGGACAGTATCGATACTTGACTGTGACCTTCCTCCTAACGCTCACCCTAGTCTTTCTTCTAATGACTTGGTCAATCTTTAACTTTAACGCGTTCCTTGTTTGTTTCTTCCCGAACAGGCCTGCAGTCCTGTATAGGCCAACTAGCCTATTAGTCTCAAATTTGCTTAGCGCGCTCACCGTTCCTGGCTGTCTGAGTAATTTCTGTAGGAAGACTCTATTACGCTCTGTGGTCGTCGATGTTCGGATGATTTTGACGAAAACAATCCGTCCTCCTATCTCGCAGTCTCTTCTAGCCAGTCTCAGTTATGTCTTCTTCCTTCCTATTTCAACCACCGTCGAACCATACCTCGACTTGATCTCTTTCCACTTGTCCGCCCACTGTTGCCCGCTGTTGGCAAAGACCTCCAATCTGCATTCCCCTTCCTCCCGCTTCTCTTCGAGCCAGTTAAGCAGTGAAGTTCTAGTCCCCTCCTTGGTGTCAAAAGTCACAACAGCCTTACTTGCTGTCCTCACACGTCGTTTTTTTCTCTCCCTCCATCCCTGTCGACTTCTATTCTTGAAAACTTCGCGCTTCCGCGTCCCCAGTGTGTTCAAGCTCGGTGACTGATCTCGAATAAGGAATTCTTCGAAAGCAAAGTCATCCTTGACTGTAGTGTGTCTGATAGGAATGATCACAAACTCTTCCGGTCCGCGTTTCCTCATCCAGCGGTACAGCTTTGGGGCCTTTCCCAATGACTTGGAATTCGCAGCGATCAGATGCTGTCGCCATCTGTGTATGATTGTTCTGGCCGTGCAACCCACATACACTCTCTTCGCCCATGGACTGACGATTATGTAGGTGCCTCCTGTCTGAAGATTCAGTGTATCTTCTTCAACCTCCATCTTGTCCAGATACTTGGTCAGCCAGTGGATCTCTCCCCGTAGACCCAGCAGAATCGTAGTAGTAGATAGACATCTCTCAACCTTCGCAGCTCTTTCTCCAGTAATCCCTTGCCCCCTGAGGGATTTTCGAATCACTTTGAGTTCCCTCAGCAAGTCCCATAGTTCTTCGGTTGCCGGGGGCTCCGCTAGTCAGCTAGAGGTATCTGTCGGCTGCGTCGCAGCTGACTGGATGATGGTTCGCGGATGCTCCGTGATCCTGGTCCGAGCTCTAGTGCCCACCGGTGTTCTTGGTGTAGCAGCCTCCTGTCTGTCCTCCCTTCCCGTATCTTCGATCCTTGGCTTTTGTTTCCCGATCTTATTACTCTCTGGTGTCTTGAAGAAACCTTTGTACGCCGTGTCGGTTTGTCTACGCACTAACTCCAACACCATCTCGTCCTTCTTCTTCGCCCGGATATCGTGCCTGTCACACAGTTCTCTCAGATCCGGCACCTTCTTCTGTGAGTATTCCTTCATGACTGACATGGTGTACTCTACTAAACCATGCTGAGAGCACCCTGCAGCAATGCCTTTGTACCCTTCGGTCAGTGGTTCGCACATCCCACTTTCTCTGGCGGTGTCCTCGGTCCTCTGGAGCATTCACCTCTTTCGTATGTAGACTTTTTTTTCCTGTTTCTTCTTCCCTCGTCCATGGTCTGTCTTCTTGCCTTTCCCTTTTCTCTTATCCTTCCCCTTCCGCATCTTCCTTGTCCTCTCTTCTTCCTCCTCTTCTGAATCTACACTGGATTCTTCGGTCTCAGAGTCGTCACTCTCGGAACTGCTGGTAGTCATGCTCGTATCGCTGTCGCTTTTCTGGTTCTTCTTCTTTCTTCTACCTCACTTCTTGCTGGCCTTCTTCCTCCTTCTGTACTTCTTGTCGATCTTCTTCGAAACCTTCGGGCTTGGTTGTCTTGGAGTGGGTTGTTTTGGACTTCGTTTCACGCTATCTTGCTTCAAAACGGTTTTCTCCACCTCCTTTGTCTGTTCTTCTACCGCTCGCCTCTGCTCTCTCCATCTTTCTGCTATACTTGCTTCTAGCTGCATCCTCATCTCCTCCGTCCTTCGTGCCAGGTCAAGATCCCGTCTCCTATCTTCTTCATCCTTCAGACGTTGCTGTTCTTCCTTTAGTCTCCTCTCACGTTCTTCCTCCCTTCCTTTCATCATCTCCCTGACGAAGGTTCGCACTTCATCCTCCGGTTGGTTCGGTCTCCCCCGTCGAGACCAACAGTCTCGCGCCAAATGTCCGACCTTGCCACACTCGTAACACTGTATGCCTCCGGGTCTTCCTCCATTTCCGTTCACGTTTCCGTTGTTCATGTTGTTCATCTTGCGATAGCTCTTCAAGTCTTCGTCGCCGAATCACTGGGTTTTCTTGCTCTTCTCCGCAGACTGTAGTCACGAGAAAACCTACCTCCTCCAAATGTGAACGATCTCCTCCACCTCGTTGATGTCGATTCATCGTCGTAGCCTCAGAAGACGAATGGCTCTCCTAGTCCGTTGGAGAATCTCGATAATCTTCCTAAAGACGTCGGTCCTAATTCTTGGATAGGTGATGAGGTTCGCAGTTTCAAACACCGGTCTAATTGTTTGTCGGATATACCTCTCAAGAAGCCGGATCAACCTTAGACGATTTGTCAGTTCTCCGGCTCTATATTGTCATCTTGTAGATCCACATACTGGACAAGCGTTCGACATCTTCTTCTATAGTGTGCTTCCGACTAGTACAAGTCCCAGTCCAAGTGCAATGAAACCAAAACCATAGAACAGCCTATGTATCACTTCCCACATCTTCTTTCTAAAACTGTTGCCTATACCTCCTTCGTTAGCCTTTGCTGGCGTTACAAGCGTAGTTCGTATCTTCATAGTCAAATTTCCTCGTACAGATAGTTTCGCTATCAGCACGCTATTGCTATCACCTCTCTGTATAGGAAGACTAGCTATATCAAAGCTGTAAAAACGTGGCTACGAAAAGCTTAAAGACGTGATGTCATCTAGAGGTATTGTTTAATTGTGAAAGTAAGCAATATCGTAGTACCGTTATGTAACGTAACGTAGACCGTAGCGCAACGTAACGTAACGTAACGTACAGCAGTAACCAAGCATAGCCACCGGTAAGTATGTAACTTCGGTTACTATGTTCCCGAGAGAGGCAGACTGCGGCCACACAGTTTGCCAGGGAGGAACCATAGTGACCGAGGCTATCAAACATGCATAGACAGAACTGTGTGAATGAAACACTTCAAATGAGTCACGACAAAGCACTGTTTCAAAAACTTGACTCAAAAGAGTTCAACAATCATCCAACAAAGTCCYCTCACAACCWTGTCGTCAAAACCCCGTGTCCACCRTAGCSAAGCTCTCCCTTGTAGTAGGCAAAGTAGTGTCCTTCTACYGGTTKCATCCGCCCACTTCGCGGAATCATSAGGAAGGTGTACTTCCAAAGTACTTCTGCCGAAAAGAGAGACCTCRRCCTTTGTCTCTCTGTACCTTATAGTCCTTCGTACGCGAGTGCTCAYAGGAAAAGACCCTGTCGGTCTTTCCGTCAAGAACCTGTCTAGGTTCATGCTAAATAATAGTASTCYAGAATCGTCTATATTCTTTCGAAAATRCAGTAGCAGCAAACTGAAAAAACCTTACTTTTCGTTGTTCGCAGGAAAGACCCTATCGGTCTTCTTTAACGTCCGAGTTCATGCTAAGTAATAAAACAAAAAGGGTC